TAAATGCCCAAATTGTTAGGAAATGAAAAAAACCCAACTGTTAAGGGTTCAATACCAACCTTAACTCTTGTCTCACATGCTTATAAATTTTACAGTCCAGTTTAGAAACCGCCAAGCACATCTCATGCCCTCCTTGCTATACAGATGAACTCCCAACAGCTCTTCTTCACATGTTCCCCCTTCCTGCCCATACTTAGTATAAAAGTTTTCTAACAAACCTCTTGTTACACTAGGTGGAAAAAAATCCCCCAAAACATGTATTTTCTTAGCTGAAAAATGACTAACTTAGGTTAAAATACGGTATCTTGAGTTAACAGATGGAGATCCATTCTGGAATTTCCATTGGGTCTGTCTGAAGCAGCAAACCTGAGTTGCCTTGTCTTCCTTGCTATTTTAACCTCTGTTAGCAAGCCTGGGCCAACCCACCCACATTTAGAGACAATCTTTATTTGTAATATAAACAATACCCATGTCACAATGGATAAAGGGCAGATCTGTGGGATTTCATACAGGAAAAGACAACTGCTTTTGCCAGCTACTGGTTCCTAAAAACCACCTGTCTTCTATTAGTGTCCTAAATGAGGAGGTGGGATATGTCTTGGTGGGGTCTAATGACTGACCAGAGAAAAGGAGCTGAAGGGAAGGTGAAGCCTGGTTACGTGTGCTCTCTGCTCAGCAGGGAGGCCCCCGAGTGCTAGAGAGAGAGAGGCTCCACTTTCATCTACATGAAGAGAAACCAGAAGTAAATGTCCCTTTCAGGAGGGATAAGGGGGTCTCCTAGAGAGAGCATTTAAGCAACAGACTAGGAGGGAGAGGACGTCAGATCACGGAGGGGGTCGATGCAATGACTTGCTTCTCAAACAGAGTGAACAATCTTGCGCTTAATTTAAATGCAAGTGATGAGTTGTAAGAGTGGTGAAAATGGCAAATAAATTCTAGGAAATTGCATATAAAGAGGAATCATTGTTATTAAATCATTTAGGATGGATGTGTTTCAAATCTAGCTCACAGTTGAAACTGTTTAACAGCTATAGCTGTGGAGTTTTAACAAAATTGCAGAATCGCAATGTATCTGCCAGGGATTTATTTTAAGGATTATAGGGCAGTTACATGAATGAACCTCAATAGACTCAACATGTTGTTGTGATCTGAACTCTTTAGTGATTTCCACTGCAGTTATGTATGCAAGAACCAACAACACGTGTGTATTTGTGTGCTTATATACAAACACATGAGACAGGGAAATTGCACACACACGTGTAGGCTTATTCCCCAGCTCCACAGGCAAGCTCTCTACGGACTGCTCCTACAGGACAATGATATGATTTCTTAACATTAGCATCATGGTATTTCTTTTCACTTCTCCCCAGAGATCTCGTTTCCTCTGATCTGCCTCCTGTGTGTATTAAAAAGGAAAGACTATACTGTCCAGCACACTCCTGGTACTTGATCTCACTCCAAGCTTTGGGTGCTAATCCCACCACCTCTGTATTGCCTGTCTTTCCTCTTGGTGCCTGTGTTTGTGTTTATGTACAGACATGCACATCTGCTAGTGACAACCCTCCACTGGCTGCTTTCCTTGGCCTGCTCTGTACAAGAAGGGAACAAGAGTCTGGCCCATAGCTGGCTCCATTGCCCAGCTACCAACATCAACTCCTGCTCTTTTTTCTCCAGAAACTACATATTGCATTTCTACTTCAAACACTTCTTTACATCAACTGTCAGTCTAGCAGTCCAAAGACCCTAGTTCCCAGGTGCTCCCATTCTCTTCACTGTGGGAAGATGTTCTCCATTGAAATTTGGCTACTGAAGCACTGAGAGACAGGGAAAAAAAATAAAATCAAAATCTGGCTTTTTCCTTTGCCTACTTCCAGCAGATTGCTGGAACATTTTAAAAAATTCATCCCAAGCCTGAACAATGATCACTTCTGAAAATACTGGTTCTAAACTACTGGAGATCAAACTTCTCAAATAGCCTCAATGGTTTTAGAAATGCCTGTTGACATAGATATGGCTGTTAACTCCTCAGGTCTGGAGGGCAGAGCGTGTGGTAACACTCGCTTGATGGCCTCAACAGTTCCCCTTGGCTGCGGGGATAAGTCACACAGCAGAATGCGCTTGTTGGTCCATGGGAAGGGCTGCATGCCCTTATGAACACAAAAATCATAACCACTTCTGTTTCTTGAAACATCTCTAATTCATCAGTAATGCTTCAATGGAATAATAGCCACAAACCCTAGCACCAATTGTAGAAATGTGTTTTGTATTATTTATTTAAAGCATAAGTATAAGCTTTTTAATGAATAGGAAGTTATGATGCACTGGCAGGATAATGGGGAAAATGGAGGAAAGGATATTGAAAGCTTTGAGCACTGCTCTCCTCTCTGCTGTCTCGCTCTCTGCCTCTCTCATACATTTGCCCTCTCTGCCCCTGGTTCCACTGTGGAAGCCATATGGCTTCCAACTCTCTTCTAAGTAGCCACTGAGAATTGTCTATGGTGGAATACTGCCAAAGCCCTTCCTGGTTTAATGACATGGGGAAGAGTGCTGTTCAGTGCTCACCCAGCACAGAGACTCACCGCGTCCTTGATTATGATCCTGGAGCCAGCAAGCGATGCTGGGAATTGAACCATCAGTGCCTCAAATACAGAAGTCGACATGTGCCAACCCCTGCTGCATTCAGCCTCTGTGCGTGGCATATTAATGAGTCTTGAACTTGAGGTCCAACCTTCAAGCTTGCACAGAAGGAATTACCCAAAGACACAAAAAAAAAGGTCCTCTTTGTCCTGTTTGCCTCTAACCTTGCATTGTGACACTAGTTTCTTCACTGAGTTTGTTCACTCCTGAAGCAGTAACTGGGTTTTTTTAGGCCATCGCATCACACCTCTGCATACATAACCACAATTTCCCTTGATTTAAAGATTTGAAAAAATAGCTTGAAAAGATACAAAGACCAAACACATTAAACCAAGAGGGTATATGAGGGGACAGATGACTCAGTACTAATTCTCTCATATCCTATCCATAAATACCAGCTAAAAGTCAGGATATGGAGCTGGATGGAGCTTTCTTCTGCCTGTTCTTATGTCCCATGACACTAGATAGCAGGAACGTGTGCTTACCAGTGTGGTAACAGTCTAAATAGGAATGAGGAGGGTGCTCAGCCTGATGGCTGGATTCCCATATCAGCACAACAGAGCATTGCTGGGGACCCTCAGTGCCATGGGTGTCAGAGAGGAAGCCCAATACCTATGGAAGTTGGTGATGCACTACAACCCCCAACTGCATAAACCGATTTGGAATTGCTCAGTCTTATTTTATTTGAATTTCCTGATTTAGAAGAAAGCTATGGCCATCTAGTAGTCAGCTGAAATATTGGGTTCAGGGAAGTTTTATAGCATTTCTTTTGGGTCTTGCAAATGCCTGGTGCATAGTGAAGGCTAGTCTCTTATTTTCTGAGAAACAATTTTTTCTCCACATGCACATTTGGCAGCAGAGACACGGTACAGATGAAAGAGCCCCTACAGAAGGTTGCTCTCTTTCTTTGGAAATGGTTGCACCTCTGGAGGGAAATTTGACAGCCTATGATAGCTGTGTCCTGCTGCAAATCTGTCCAAAAGTCAGAGAAAGGGACAGCTTGTAGAAGGTGAACAGAGCCAATGTAAAATGTAACTCTCCAGGACAGCATGTTCCACTGGTGGTAAGAGGGAAGGACAACACAGCATCGACCCTGAAACCACAGTCTACAGCCTTCCTAGGCACAGATAAAAGACTTAACAAGCCTGTAAAAAAATCACATACTGAATTTTATTTCTGTCAAGAAATAAAACAAAATAAGTTACGGTGTTCATGAAATCTTATCACCTTTGAAACACTTCAGAAATTTAACTAATCAAAGCCCACAACAATCCCTGACAAAAGCCTGCAACAGCTCAGGGAGCCACTGAAGAAAGGTCACAGGATTTACCCAGTCACAAAGGCTATACTGGATGTGCATTATCTGAGGGATCTGTCCTAAGACATCAAAGTCCAATTTGTTCTATGTCTCAGGTCTACAAATTCACATATTCCTTTCCATAAGTCAAAGGCAAGTTTCTTCAAATACACGCATTTGACCTATTTGACCCCCCAACTCACTCACTAGCAGCCATGATGCCAAAGCAGATAAAACACATGGTGCAGTTGTTCACATGCAGTGATTCCAGCTCACACACACTATAGCTCAGTGTTCCTGAGGCAATGAGAAACACTTTTTCAAATAACCCACCTCTTTCTCCAGTATATCAAAAACCACTGCAAATTCTCACTGGAGAATGTACATAATGGCAAGGTAGCAAGAACAGCTGTGAGTGCAGACCCAGACGGCATTTCCACAGCACAAGACAGAAGCACCAGAAGCCTATGTGAACTATTCCATTTCTTCCTCAGCTTTTACCTGACACAAGTCAGCAAAAATCCTTCCACTAATTTTGATGGGAATGAACATCAAATCACTGCACTACACATTGCTCCAATTATTTCAGCAGTCCTAAAATAAAGCAGTATTTAAGCAGTAATTACTATCCTAAATCAATACACCGTGCAACAGCAATGGACACACATCTCCTGAAGATCCAAGTAACTTGATTTTACCAGTGGTGAAGTTCTCAACATTATAATGGCCAGTTGTACTATGATACCAAACCCAAGAAGTGTCATTTTTTTATGAATAAGCTGCTCAGGTTCCAAAATACCAACCAAAAATATGCTGTTAAGTATTTCAGAACAGAGTAAGATTTCCTTTTAAGACAGGCAAGAGCCGTCTGAGTTAGCTGTGAGTCACAGAAATCTCACAAGCATAGAATGAAAGTTCCTGATTGGGCTCTATTGGTCATGCCTCTGTTTCAGCTTATCTGGGTTGGGTACCAAACCATTACATTTTCAGAGTCTTGTACTTTCAGACAAAAACATGCAGTAACCAGATTTACCATATTTAATAAAACAATAAACTTTGTGCTGACCTTTGGCAAGCGTTCAGGGTCACCAGGGTGCCGGGGGATAACCTTCTGTAACCTTTGGAAACCATAGTCAATGGTGGGTTCATTCAGAGCTGAAACAACAACAAACAACATCATGATGTGACAAACGCAGAGCAAGCAGGCTCTGTTGCACTGTAACAATTGGCAATGCACTGCAAGGCCAAGGAAGGATCACAGCAAAATCCCCTTTTTCTGAAATCTGCACTGACTATCAAGTCTTGGTTCAATCATTATTTGAGGTTGGTTTTGAGGCTTCGGTTCAAAGAACAATGCAAACCCTCCCACTTGAGTTCCTAAAACAAGGTGGAAAATTTGGGGATGTTGCACACATCTTTCAAATAGGAAGCAATTCTTATCTCTGAGAGCCATGATGAAATTAATTTGATAAATACTTTGCACCCCATGTTTCTTGTTGTTTTTTTCCCTGCCTTCATATTACAAGGAAGGCCCTTTGTGATTGGAAGACAAAAGAAGTAACTATTAGGGAGTCTTTCTTGTTCCAGATTCTATTGTACATTTAATATGCTCCATGTGCAATGATCACATATAACTTTGTTGTGAACTACAGGCATTTGTCTTGGCGGAGGCTTTATTTTTAACTCATCGACACTGACTTAAGCAGCCCAGCTCAGGCTCCAATCAGCAAGGAACTGATCCAAAAGATTTAATGAATTTAAAAAAAAAATTATCTCTGTTTTTAGTTCATCTTTACCCAGTCCTTGTCCAATAAAATGGAGGAGAGAAATGGTGGAAGGGGAACACTTTAATCTTCGTGAAAATGCTGGTCTGCCTGCATTAATCGAAGCTCTGATTGTGCCAAGCCTTTAAGCACATGCTTATCTGTAAGCACATACTTAAACCCATTTGCTTTCAGCAAAGCAAATTTGAGCATATTATGTTTTTTATATGATTGCCTATAATTACAGGGACTGCACTGAATGACCTTCTAGCTATATTTCCAGTCATATGATCACTTTAAAACTCAGATGTTAGTGAGACTTCAACATGTGCTTAAAATTTCCTAAGTGCTTTGGTGAACTGGAACAACAGTCAAGCATTCTCAAGCATCTCCAAACAACAGCACATCTTGACTCTCCCATGCCAATAGAGATGATGAAATTTTCCACAGCAATTGGTTTGCAATTTTTTTTAGTTGAATGAAAAAAAAAAATTCACTATGGATTTTTGTATATTCAGTCTTTTTTTTCTGGTGGAAAGAAAATTTTTTTTTTTTTTTTTCCATTTTTGGGGCACTTAAAAGTTTTTCTTATTTTGTCTTAGGTTACTAATAGCAAAAAAATAATTATTTCTTGCACAAGTTCTGCCTACTAAATTATGAATATATCTTGCTCCTTTATGATAGTTTTATTATGAACTTTACTATGTGGCTAGAACGATGCTATCTGATTCTTGAAAAGAGATTTAGCATCAGACTGTATCTGCCAGTCTCACTGGTGTAAGCACTCTCATGTGGCTCAGTGATGCTTACCCCACAGCAAGTGACACAACTCCACCAGTCTGGCACAATTTGTCCATACTTCCACCTTTTAAGTGAAGAGAACATTTTTTGTCATACTCCTAATGTTAACGATCTTTAGCCAGACCACATAGTTATCATGGAAGTAATCCCTGGCTTGTTTTTAATTATTTGGTGTTCCATAAACAACCCCCCAAAACAGTCCAGTTTTTAAAAAAACTATTCAATTCAAAGTATTATTTTTAAACCACATTTCTACAGCAGATGTTCCTACTGGCAAGCAAAGGGTCAGATTTTTATATCCTCCTGAACCTTCAGTACATCCCAACTCCATAAGCAGCCCCAGCGATGCTACTGCAAATTGAGGCAGAAGGAAGGTGGTGTAGAGGCATCCAGATCTACCCAACAGCAGTGCAAGAGATGTGTGTGGCTGGTGGGGAATGGCTGGAGAGGAACAAAGTCCAGCAGAATCTCAAATATTTCTCTAATATCAGAAACGAATCTTCTGAGCATATCCTGAAATTACTGTTACAGTATTATGGTAACACCAGACTAGAAATCTTTCAGAATTTTACTCTCTGGGCTATTGTCAGAAGTTTTTTATTTCCTCAGAGACCTTGGCATCCCTCTAATCTCAGGTTTTTTCATGCATTTCCCTTTAGCAGGAATATCTGAATTTGATCTTTTATTTATATTTGAGTCATTGTATGGAGGGGGTAAGAATAAGGCTTTTCCCCTGTTTGTGCCCTTTTTGGTTTTTGGATGGTTGGGTCTATTTTTCCATGTTTCCTTTCACACCCTGGCCACATGCTGTCCACTCTGCTGGGTAGTTCTTGCAGAAAATATCCCAGTACCTGGGTTTGTAAACTGCCGGTTTCACTACCTTTGGGTTTCCTTACATAGCTTCTTTTTGTGAACCCATTTAGTTTAGATCTTCTTCAAATTTTAAAATAAATTAATTTGCTCCTATTTATATTTATTAGCAAAAATAGCTGTTCTCTGAGAAGATGAAAAGAAAAAATCCCTACAGTTCTAATTTACATTTCTTTTGCAAATATGTTAGAAGATTTTAGCGTGGTTCTGTCAAATGTGTTTCTTCTCTAATTCAGTCTAGTTTATGGCCATTTTCCCTTTACATCCTTTGGGAAAGTAGTTACTAAATTCTGCAATATAATAAATGGAGGCCAGTTCTGAAATCCCCCCAGAGATAGCAGTCATTTTCTCATATCTTCCCACACATTCAACACATTTGAAATCCACAGAGTATTTCCTGTGAGTATTTTCCGAACTAAATGACCAAAAAAAATGTTAATTTTATGGTCCAATCTCACAAGGCATCAAGCATCCTCTGAGAGATACTGAAAACTTTCTGCTTCAAATAGCTTCAGCTTTACTTTAGTGGTGGGGAAAGGTTGCACACAGCAATTTGCAGGATTGGGTCCTTAACTGTAGTTGTCAAATATCACTCATTAGTCTATAACCATTCAACCCTTTCAATCTTAGACAAAAAGAAAAAAAGAAATCTTTAGCTGCCTGAACATCTAACCACAGATTGGACGATATCAGCCCTCCATTCCTTAGTTCATTTATAAACCAAGTCAAACCTAATTAGTCATATCTCAAAGAAAAAGCCCTGTTTAAGTATTTAACCCCACCTTCAGTGTTAAGGCCACACCAGTTTCTGTATCAGCAGCTGGCAAAACTCCAAAGAAAAGGTGATAATTCTGATTTCCATGTGCTGCAGAAGAGCCAGTGCTGAGGCCACCATTAGTGGCATCGAAAGTACCAGCTTCAGGCAAGGTTTTGTCTCTGTCCCCAGTATGTATGAGCCTGGTCTCTGCCTTTGAAGTTTATTCACAATAACACATTTCCCAGTGCTCTAATTCAAAGAATGGGTTTTTTTTTTTCCACGATTGGAAAAAAAGAATCAATAAGAAATACAAACTCTCTATTTGTGTTCTTGACATCCATACATTAAAAACAAGCTAACACATACTGTACTTAAAATGCATTCCCATTACCCTAAATTTTAAAAGTACTATTGAAAGTACTACTAACTTTAAAAAACTGTATTAAATTCAAATAGGTCCCAAGGCTAATGGAAGCAATTTGTATACCAACCCAAACTGACTGGCCCACTTTTCAAAATACAGGTATGATAATCTTGCGGTTTTAAAAGGACATTTAAATTGAAAGACTGTGAATTTAGTACATAATTATACCAATAGAACCCTTTAACTTGTCAACTTGTAAATCTAAAAGGCTATCAATCATTTCTAAAGAGGAAATAAACCTTAAAATTCTTTGATTGACAGTGCTTACTTTTTATGTGAAAAAAAAGGAGTAAAGTGGCCAGAAATCCATTTACAAAAGTACATTGTTTTACATAGGTGAGTAAAAAGCCAATAATTACAGCTCCAAAAGACATATAAATCAAAGTAAGTACTTTTCCCTCACTTACATATTTTAAGTTGCAGTAAACTTCAGGTAACTTTTTATTAAAATACTTTTCCAAATGCAAAGCTTATTGAAGCCATTAATAGAGTAGCATTTTCATTTAAGCTAATATAATCATTTTTGCAAATACAAGATTTAAGCCATTTTTCTCCTTCCAAACAATAAACTTTCAGCCTGTCTCTTGTGTGAATTAAGTAAAATTACACCCAGGTGTACAAAATCTGTCTATCTATCCTAGTGTATGAGTTAAGGCACAATATTTATTATTCTTACCATTTTATGAATTACTTCTTAAACCCTTGAGGAAGAACTTTCTTTCAAATTAGACTCTAACAGAATAAGCCATGAAGCTCTTTATGCAGCAAGTCTAAAGCCATAACTCATAAAATGTAAGTCTTTTAATCAAGAAAATGCACAATGTCTATGGAAATAAGGATGCATGCATTATATTCATCTTTTCAAAGTCCAACTTATTTTTCAACAGAAATGTTGCTTATGCCTCTGAGAAAAATGTTTCCACCATAACTATAATTTCAAATTCTGCACCAATAATTTTAATAACTACATGTAGATAACCCACCTTTCTTAAAAGTCTCTCTCTCTTTTTTTTAACTAGTCAGTGGAGGGCTTTTTTTAATATTTCACATAATGAATTCCTACTGTGTCAATAAAGCTTTGGTTGTTAATTGAATGACTGTCTGGTGTATCTGAGAGGAATTTGTTTCTGTGGCCACACTGCCAACTTACAGCAGAATGATCGACACTTAATATCAGCAATTAAAAGGACCTGTTCAAATATCATATGGAATTCGTAGCTTGGGGTAGTGTAGCAGAACTCTTCACCAAGGAAAACTCATTCAGCGAATGCAGAGAGTAATTGAATTAGACACATTTTAACATTATTATTCAAAGAAAAATAAACACACACTACATAGAAGCATTATGGAAATATTTCAGAACGTAAAACATATCCAGTTAATTTGTTTCCCATGCATTCATGGTTTCATTTATTCCTTTTATTTTTCAGCCCTTGTTTCTTCTACATTCTGTTTGACCCAAAACCAATGAGAAAGCAGCACTTAGACCTATGAACTTCTTATATGCTTTTCCAGTGGAAAAGGATGCAAGGAGAGGGAA